TTGGAAATGGAGTCTCACAGTGTCACCCAGGCTGGAGTGCAATGGTGCGATGTCAGCTTACTGCAACCTCCGCCTCCTGGGTTCAAGTCATTCTCCTGCATCAGCTTCCCCAGTAGCTGAGATTACAGGTGCCCACCATCACACTCAACTAATTCTTTTATTTTTGGTAGAGGCGGGATTTCACTATGTTCACCAGGCTGCTCTGAAACTGCTGACCTCGTGATCCCCATTATACCCAGCTAATTTTTTTATTTTGGGTAGAAGCAGGATTTTCACTATATTCACCAGGCTGGTCTCAAACTGCTGACCTTGTAATCCCCATCATACCCAGCTAATTTTTTATATTTTTGATAGAAGTGGGATTTTCACTATGTTCACCAGGCTGGTCTCAAACTCCTGACCTCGTGATCTGCCCTCCTTGGCCTCCCAACATGCTGAGATTACAGCCATGAGCCTCCGCACCTGGCCCCCTTCTGCATCTTTTTTATATAATTACATACAGTCAGTCTTCTCTATCCATTGGCTTCACATCCATGGATTCAACCAACCACAAATCAAAAATACTCAAAAGAAAAACGATAAATAACAACACAACAATAAATAATACAAGATTTTTTAACCAATACAGTATAACAACTATTTACCTAGCATTTACATTGCATTAGGTATATAAGTAACCTAGAGATGGTTTAAAGTACACGGGAGATGTGCACAGATTATGTGCAAATACTACACCACTTTATAGAGGAATTTGAGCATCCTCAGACTTTGGAACCTGAGAGGGTCTTCGGGCCTGTTCCCCAAGGATACTAAGGGATGACTGTATTCTAAATGGTGTCATTCCGCACATAGCGTTCATCAGCTTGCCCTTTCCACATAACAATGGCTAAGATCTGTTGGCAGACACAGACCTAGTTACATTATTTTTAACAGCTTCAGAATATTCCATAAAATGAATCGTAATTTAATTATTTCCTTACTAAGAAATAGTTACTAAGTTGCACCTAATTTTTCATATTGTAAATAGGGCTTTAGTGAACCTTCCTGGACATGTCTCTTTGTGCATGTATATGAATAAAGGATAAATATATGTTTAATTTTTAGACATAGAGCAAAAAGTTCTCTGTAGAGGTTGTAGCAATAATCACTTTGACCAAATTATACAATAACACAAGTTTCCCCTCCCCTTTATCAATAATAAATATGTAGTTGTTATTCTTGTCAATATAATGGTCGAAAAATGTTACTTCACTTTCAGTCATGTTGTCTTACTATAACCTAACAACATTAAAAAAACATGTGAATTTCATTTTCTTGCACACAAGTGAATCGTGACCATAAGTATCATTGTACATGTCTTCCAGGACTTGGGGAATTTTTTAATTTATGGATAAAAGAAAAAGAAAAAAGATTTCCTGAGGTAATTCACATGTGGCAGAAGAGACAAAAAAAGGAAAGCAATTTTGTTAAAAGATGGGTTCAGAAGTAAAGTAAGACATGTTCTGTAGGAAGGGAATGGAGTTGCAGCCAGGAGCCAAAGGAGGTCAAGGGGCAGTGGCCAGCCACCAGGTGGTAAGGAATAAAGTGAACAGACTGGAGGAGCATGGGCTGCACCTGGGAAATATATTCTTTATCTCTGGTATTTAAAACTGTGGGCCTAGGCTGGGCGCAGTGGCTCAAGCCTGTAATCCCAGCACTTTGGGAGGCCGAGGCGGGCGGATCACGAGGTCGAGAGATCTAGACCATCCTGGTCAACATGGTGAAACCCCGTCTCTACTAAAAAAAATACAAAAAATTAGCTGGGCATGGTGGCGCATGCCTGTAATCCCAGCTACTCAGGAGGCTGAGGCAGGAGAATTGCCTGAACCCAGGAGGCGGAGGTTGCAGTGAGCCAAGATCGCGCCATTGCACTCCAGCCTGGGTAACAAGAGCGAAACTCCGTCTCAAAAAAAAAAAAAAACAAACTGTGGGCCTTGAAAATGCCTATATTTGTTTATTGGGAAAACAGTTGTCTATATCAGTATTCCTTGAATCAACTCATCTGAAGAAGCTATGTGCTCAAATAAAACCCAGCAATAACAACTTTGTCTTTGATTGTCTAAAAGGAAGATGAAATACAGTATTTCTAGTAACACAGCAGTTCTGCAAGGCATACACTATTCTCATCTTACAGATAAGGAAAACTGAGGCTAGGAGAGATGAAGTATCTTTGCCCAACTTTACAGTCATCTGTTGGCATAGTAGAAATGAGCATTTGGTACCAGCATGCTCATTCTTTCTACCAGGCTTTGCTGCCCCAAAACAGATGGAAAAACTTGGCCCTGGTGCTAATGTCTTATAATCTTCTTGTATCATCTCGAGAATGCCATTTAAACTCTTTGGACCTTGAGCTTGATTTCTTTTTGGAGGAAGGGGGTGGAATTAGATAATCTACGGGGTTTCTTCCTGTTTTAACATTTTTGGACTCCATTTACTATCTCCTGGACTACAAAGTTGAGTTAGGGCTGGGGAGAGAGAGAGTGCATGCACTTTCATCTGGAGGCAAATTTAATATAGTGCACATACCTTTTAGAAGATACAATTCCAGAGCAAGAAATCATTAGTTTGGGAATGGGGAATCAGAGCAGGACAAGGAGACCACTCCAGGAGACTGTTTCAGAAAGCTTAAAGTTTCAGCAAGGCTTTGACATTCAATGGGATGAAACAGGGTTCAGAGTCAAGCTTGTATAAGAAGAGAAACAGGAGAAGAAGGGAGACTAATTTTTGAAAGGTCGTACGAAAAGCCCATTTATTCAACATGAGTTTTGACAAAGCCAATTTTTCAATTACTATTATCTATTTGGAACTGTTTCCTGGAACGAACATGAATTCTCCATTTATGCATAGTTGGCAACTAGAAACTAAGAATGAGAAAATAACATCATGCTTAATGTAAGAAAAGGAAAGGAATCGATCATCTTTTTAAAATTTAACAGTTTTTCTGATTATGAAAATATACTCATGATAAAAAGTTTTAAATAGACAGAAATTATTAAAAATCACTTAGAATCCCACTACTTCCATCATGTAGGTACCTTTCTTACAAGTTCTTTTCCTATACACAATTTTTTTTTTTTTTTTTTTTGAGACGGAGTTTCGCTCTTGTTACCCAGGCTGGAGTGCAATGGCGTGATCTCGGCTCACCGCAACCTCCGCCTCCTGGGTTCAGGCAATTCTCCTGCCTCAGCCTCCTGAGTAGCTGGGATTACAGGCACGAGCCACCATGCCCAGCTAATTTTTTGTGTTTTTAGTAGAGACGGGGTTTCACCATGTTGACCAGGATGGTCTCGATCTCTCGACCTCGTGATCCACCCGCCTCGGCCTCCCAAAGTGCTGGGATTACAGGCTTGAGCCACCGCGCCCGGCTATACACATTTTTTAAAACAAAATTGGGATTCTATTATACATGTAATTTTATCTGATTTTTAAAATTCAGTATTATAAATACAAAACATTTTCTCCAACTGTTAGAAATTCTTCAAAACAGCATTTTTAATGGCTGCAAAATGTTCCATATTTGGGGTATGCCATGATTCACTGAACTCTTCTCCTATAGGGGGACAAACAAAAACCTACGTGACAAAAAAAAATGAGAGAAGCCAGGGAACTATGGGATTTGGAGAGCTTTTTGAGTATGATGGGTAGTAGTAACCCTCTATCTGTAAAGTGCATCGAGAATATTTTTTCCAGGTCTATTTCACTTTGTAACTTGGTGGAATCTACTTGCCAGAAAGTCGTTTTAAAAAATACCTCAAATATGTATATTGTCTTTAAAAATATTTAGGATTTTCTGGCTTGCTTTAAAAGGTTTCTAAACTTCCAGATTATTTTTAAAACATTCTGCCAAATTTCTATTCTAGATATTATTATTCTATCTTTTTTACAGTGAAAAGCTTTAATTTATTTATTATTGAACTACATAGTGGGTAGAATTTTAGCATTATTTAATTCTAGGCAAATAACCAATTGTGTCAAGATCACCTATTAAATAAACATCTTCCCCATTAAATTGAAATAATAACTTTTGTTTTCCCTAACATTTCTGTAGATATTGTAATTTACTTCTATATTCTCTCAGCTGTTCCTAACTTAATTGATTATAGAGCCTTTATAAGGTTTTATTTATTCTTCTACTGAAATTGTAAGATATGAAACAATCTTCTTAGTGCCATTCAGATGCTAACTGGAGCTCTATTCAATTTATATAACTTGGTCCAGGCACAGTGGCTCATGCCCTAATCCCAGCTACTCAGGAGGCTGAGGCAGAAGTTGCAGTGGGCTGAGATCGTGCTACTGCACTGTAGCCTGGTAGACATAGCAAGAGTCTGTCTCAAAAAAGTACAAAAAAAATATTTATATAACTTGGGGAAAAAATGAAACATGCAGTCCTATCTTGTCTCAGAGACAGCAATCTCCTTCCATTTGTTCATCTACTATTTTATGCCCTTCAATTCCAACAATGTCACTGAATATTCCATTGATTCACTTTGGAATTACTTTTGTAATTGGAAGGCAGGGCCTGGGTCCCAGGACAAGATTCTCCTCTCTCTGTGGAGAAGCGAGTTAGAACAGAGGGTCAAAGCACAAGGTTAGAAAGAAACACCTAGATTCATATGCTGACCCTGCTCTTAGCTAGCCGCATGGCCGAGGGCAATCTGCTTAATTTCTCTGAGACTCAGTTTCTGCCTCTGTAAAATGGGGCTGATAACACAACCTCCTAAAGATGCTGTGAGGATTTCATGAGCTGATGTTTATTAAAGGGCCTGGTGTAGTGTGGGGCACAAGGGAGGTCCTCAGAAATGGCAGCTGAGGCCATCTTCATGCAGCCCCTTTTAGTCTCCTAAACCCAGAGAGCACCAAAGTACTCCCTGCTGCCAGAGTAGCCTCTGCTCTGGGCAGCTTGGAGGACACTCAGCTTTCCAGAGAGCAAAATGCATAAAGACTATGATTCTATTCATTAGGGCCAGTGGCTCTCAAAGCAGCATCCCCAGACCTGCAGCAGCACTACCAGGATCTCTCGGTTTGCACAAGAGTCTCTTTCAAGGTGACGTTGATAACACTGCTTATGTAATAGACACTTGGAAAAGAATGAATTTGGACCCCTACCACCTGTCACATGCAAAAATCAACTCAAAGTGGATCAAAAACCAAAAAGTAAAAGCTCAAATTGTGAAGCTCTTAGAAGAAAACAAACATGAAAATCTTTGTGACTGTGGATGATGTAACGGTTCCTTACATAGGGCACCAAATAGACAGCAGCCAAAGAAAAAAATAGATATATTAAATTTCACAGAAAGGAAAAATGTTTGTCAAGGAACACTATCAAGAAAGTGAAAAATCCTCTCATAGGTTGGAAGAAAATATTTGCAAATTACGTATTTTATAGGGAGGTAGTATCCACAATATGTAAAGAACACACCCAACTCAAAAATACAAGGACAGACAACCCACTTTACGTATGGGCAAATGGTTTGATTAAATATTTATCCAAGAAGATACAGAAATGGTCAGTAAGTATATGAAAGGATGCCTACCATCATCAGCCATCAGGGAAATGCAAATCAAATCCACAGTGAGATGCCACTTCACAACCACTAGCATGGCTGTGATTTTAAACAATGAATAATAACAAGTACTGGGTGAGTATACTGAGAAATCACTGCTGGTGTGAAAGTGACACAGTGTATCCTCTGTGGCAAACAGTTTGGTAGTTCCTCAAATAGTTAGACATCTAATTATTATAAAATCCAATATTTCTTGTTCATGTATTCCCAAAATAAATGAAAGCACACAGTTATGCTAAAATATGTAATAAATGTTCCTAAGAACATTACTTGTGATGCTAAAACAGCAACCCAAATATCCATCAGATGATGACTGGATAAACAAAATGTGTTTTATCCATACAATGGAGTATTATTCAGCCATGAAAAGGAGTGAAGTAAGGCTACATGCTACACTATGGAGGAACTTTGAGAGCGTTATGCTAAATGGGAAAGCCAGACACAAAAGATCATGTATTCTACCATTCTAGTTATATGAAAGGACTGCCATCCACCAGGAGCAGTCCCGTGGCTCGCCTGGCAGATTCCAGCCACCTGGAGACCCACTGCCACCCCAGGGGGAATTCCCAGGGATGCCCCAGCGTCAGGCAGAAGACACGCAGGGGGCCCGCCTATCCTCCCAGCCTTCTGAATTTTCAGGAAAGCACAGCTAGGATGGGCAGAAGACAGGATTCAGGAGCTCTGGAAGGTTCTCTGGGAAGGGGTGCTTAAGGTCCAAACGAGAGCCAGACCCAAGCCAGGATCGAGGGTAAGAGCTGGAGAGGATCCCAGCAGATCCACCCGCAGGCTCAGGAAGGACCTCAGTGAAGCTTCTGGAGGAAGACAAGCAGGAGGCAGAAGGTGACTTCAGGAGGCCCTGGAAGAACCTATCAGTAAGTTCCGCACCCGGGGACCCAGACAAGGAGCGTCCGGAAAATAAGTTGCAAGTCCATCTGGGCAGGAAGGTGGGAAGATCAAGGAGGGCCGGATCCCCATGCCTGTGCGTCACTCTCGGCTCATGGCCAAACGTGCTTTTCCCAAGTCTGACACCTGCCAGGACCGTGAGAAGCTGGCACCCAGGAGAGGTGAGAAAGCTCACGTGAACACCTCCAGGAGCTTTCCTTCCTCTGTCCCTGAACCCAGCACATGCTGGAAGCACATCTTTTAAGGTTTCGTGTGAGGCACAGGTGGTGTCCACACCTCCGGTCCCTGGAGCCCATAAATGTCCGGTCACTTGAGGCTCAGCCCCTGCCCCTCCCACACTCCACCTGTCTCCCCTTGGCCTCCTGCGAGTCTCGGGTTGAATCTGTAGCCGAGGTTGCCATTTTCCTGGGAAAACCTCCCCAGATTGGTCCAGGAGACAGCTGGACAACAAGCAAGTCAGTCCCCACCGTGAGCGGCCCTCTCCCTTCCCCACCACCGGAGCAGGAGGAAGTCCAGAGGGCCCCGAGAGGGTCCCAGTCAGCTGACACTCGGGGAGATCAGAGGCATCTCCCACTGGACAGAAGAACAGGGGGTCTCAACCCCTCACATGTATCCCTGGGGGCAGAACCTGGCACAGGGAGATAGTCCCAGGATCAGGAGAAACCATTCTAGAGGCGAGTCTAAGTCCAGCAATGACTGGGAATGAGCCGTGGCCTGAAGACCCCTGGAGTAGCAGAGTCCTGCAGGAGCTCAAGGTAGGGTCCCCGTGGGCAAACGCTGAGGACACCCTGGAGCCCCTGGAGGTAGGGGAGGAGAAGCCTCCCTCTTGGGAAGTCATCTTGGAAGGCAGTGTGAAGGCAAATTCGGGAAGCATTCAGGTGGATCTCAGGAGACCAGGGGCTCTGGGGACCACAAGTAACTCCTCAGTGTCCACAGTCTGTGTTGCTGAGAATCCAAAGAAGCTGTGCCTGAAAGCACAGGTGGTCAGTGAGATCGAGCTCATAGTGCAGGTGGTTCCAGAGGAGCTGCCAGGCTGTGCCTCCGGCATCCTCCTCCAGGACGGCGCCACAGGCCTGTGCCTTTCTGGCCGCCACATGGACATGCTCCCCACCGCAGACATGCCACCTGCTCAGGCCCCTCTGTCCACCTCCCAGAGTGTGTCCAGTCAGAACACCACATCTTCCCAGGGGCCACGTGACCTCCTATGGACAGGAGGGAAAGGCCCAGGGCAGCAGGAGCCTGAGAGCCCAAAAGCGAAGGCCCCACAGAAGAGTCTGAGGGCGCTGGGCTCTGCAGACAAAGGCAAGGCCCAGACCAGGGGAGCCGGGACACGGGACCAAGAGACCCAGGACCTCAGAAGCCAGTGGGAGGAGCCACCCTGCCCACGCCAGGAAAATAGGAGACAAACAGGAAAGGAAATTCGTCCACCCTCAGCCGGAGAAAGGACAAGCACCTCCAGAAAGCAACTTCCGGAGACAGATCACCCACCCTCTACAGCAGGCGTCCCCAAACTACGGCCCGCGGGCTGCATGAGGCCCCCTGAGGCCATTTATCCAGCCCCCCGCCGCACTTCAGGAAGGGGCACCTCTTCCATTGGTGGTCAGTGAGAGGAGCACAGTATGTGGCGGCCCTCCAATGGTCTGAAGGACAGTGAACTGGCCCCCTGTGTAAAAAGTTTGGGGACGCCTGCTCTACAGGATCTACCCCCAGGAAAAGAGGCGCAGGGCAGGAAGACGTCCTGCAGAAAGGCAGGCCTGGGACAGCTGGTGTCCAGAGTCACAAGTCTGGCCCAGCAAGGTTGTCCTTAGACAGCATGGCTGATGAGACCCGGGCCATCATCAGAGTTAAGGGACAAATCTTGCTGGACAAACGGGGGCTTCGGCGGGGATGTGGTCCCTCAGAGGTCAATCGCCACAAAGGCGACCTCCATTCCCAGGAGAATGTGCATTCCTGCTGCCACAGGGGTTACTGCCACCAAGAACACAGCAGAGAGATGCGCGTTCTGACCTGCAGCCCCAAAGCCACCTCCAAGGGCCATGACTGTAATGTTAAAAATAGGGGCAGCAGAGACAGCAATTGGACCCCACATCCCAAGGAGCCTGCATCCCCAGCTGGTCACCACCACCACAGGCCACAGGTGGCAAGCACCTCAGGCGGGCCCATCCACAGCCGCAGGAACTGAGGTCCTCCTAAACCAGACCAGGCTTCTCACACCTCTCCTGGGGGAGACAGCAGATTCTACTCAAATAAAACTGGACATCTACAGAACAAACCTGTCCTGCATTGCATGGGTGATTACAGCCCCCATATGTTCATGATTTCCACAGAGAGGCTCCCAATACACCTGCTTTCCCTGAAGACGTGGTGGCTTCTCTCTGTGCCATGCTAGGGTACAGGAAAGGGCTCAGCGTCCGCTCCTCCTGAGCACAGCTTCCAGAAGGCCTGGGCCTGGAGGAGGCTGACAGGGATTTGGAGGATCCCCTCTTCTCCCTGTCCCCACAGTATGTCTGGTTTCCAAACTGGATCATGACCCGGAGCCTTTGAAGGACAGCAAACCCTATGGAGACCCCGCATGGGCTCCGGCTGACTGCATCCCCCGTTCTCACCAAGATGACTTCTGTGCTGCTGTAGGGGCTGGGTCTGCAGGGGCCTCACGGACTGAGGGGGTGGTAGGCTCCCCTCAGGCTGGAGGAGTGATGGATCCCAGGAGCCTCCCTCCCCCGTGGTAGCCTGGTAATGTGGGGATATCCTGTACTGGTCCTGGGTCAGAGGTGGGACAGTCCCCTTCCCTGATCTCCTGGTGGGGAAGAGATGACATTGTCCCCAGACCCTTCCCTTCCTGCTAGTTCTGGGATGGACCCGGGCCCCACCAGCACATGGCTCAGGCTTAATAACACCCCTGTGTTCATGTCTGGTGTCCCAATTCACTCTCCAGAGCAGCCTCCAGGACGAGGCTCCCAGCTTGCTAATGAGTGTGGGGTTGGCGTGTCAGGGGTGCCCAGGGCTGCTGCCTGCCCCTCTGGTGGAACTCTGTGGTCAGGAACCAGCAAAGGGGACCTTAGGCCCAGGGTGGGAGGTGGGAGAAGAATCAGGGAAGATGAACATAAGTTCGCAAGTGCAGGATCCACAAGCTGCCCGCTGCTGGAACCAGGGTCCTCACAGTCTGGTGACTGCTACAACCAAAAGTGGCCAGGGCCACTCCCAGGGTAGGGGGACCCCGAAGGCAAGGGCTGGCGTGGGTCACATAGCACATCTATGGCTCCGGGCCCAGGTGCTGGCAGGGAACACATGGGGCCTCAAAGGATCTGGTCACATGGTTGGCAGGGACAGTCCCCACAGGGCAGGGTCCTGCACCCCCTCTGTCCTGGCGCTGGTCCCTCCTGGGCATCCCCAGGGAAGGCAGAAGCAAAGGCTGAGCAGGCAAGAGCTGGTTCCCCAGAAGGCTGTGCCTAGGGCCCTTCTGCCCAGGGAGAGCTTTATATCTGCAGGGGTGATGGAGGCTGAGGACAAGGGGACATGCGTGTCCCCAGGCCTGGTGGAACCCATGCAGGACTACTGCTGGAGCCAAGTCCTGTCTGGGATGGTGACCTGGGAAGCTCCAGTGTGGGCCCAACATCTATGGGACACAGGGTCCTGAGACCTGCAGCAGAGGAGCCCCACAGAGACCCCATGTAGAGCCCCACAAAGATTCCCACAGAGAACCCCAAAGAGACCCCCATATTCACAGACTTTCAGATTCCCCACAGTGACGCCCTGAGTCCCTAAGAGAGATTCTGACTGAGACCCCCTATTAAGACCCCCCAGAGAGACTCCCCCGCAGAGAAACCCCTGACAGAGACTCACACAGACACCCTTCAAAACCAACACGGAGATCCCACAGAGACCCCCCCACCCCACAGTGACTCTAACAGAGACCTCCAAGAGAAAATATATCAAGGTCACTTTATCACCCCCTAAAATATCAAGCACTGAACTCACTTGTTTAAAATGAGCAGCATCTAACTCATTACCAGCAACAGCTTTCTCCTGGCAGTCCTCTGCCCTCTTCCAGGTAAGATTCCTTGAGACACCGAACAATTGACAAGCCTCCTCTATCAGACAGCATCCAACTTAGTGACAAGCCTCCTCCATCAGACAGTGTCCAACTTAGAGGACAAGCCTCTTTCATCAGACAACATCCAACTTAGCAACAAGCCTCCTCCATCAGACAGCGTCTAACTTACAGACAAACCTCCTTCATCAGACAACCTCCAACTTACAGTGACCCCCTACCCGCTGACAGACCCTTCCCCAGATCACCCCGTCACAACCCCCATGTGGTTACAAAACTGTAAGCACTGATGATAGAAACAGTGAGATTCCTCTGATGCCGTCCTTCTGAGACTGCCCTCAGCTCCTCAGGCCATGCCCTTCCCTCACTGCCAAGGAAATCCCCCACGCAGGGTCTAGGTTGGCCTTGCTCATGGGGCTCCTGCGGGCCTTGCACTGGAGCACATGGAATGGGAAGGATCTCGGCTTGGACACAGCTTCTTCAGAAAACCTTCTCCCACTCCCCTGTGAGGCCAGGCCCCCTGTGCTGGATTCCCCACCCTGGCCCTTCTTCCCTTGCGACAGCCTTTCTCCCAGAACCCTGAAAGCTTCTTGTGGGTCCAGTGAGGAGGGAGGTGTGCCTGACCACACTCCCGGAACTTACTGTGGCCCCATTATAAATTGTTTCATAAAATCTTAGTGAACAGGCACAGGAATCAATGCTTCCTAATGTCCCTCATACACAAGTTGCATCACTAAAATCATCCTTTCATCAAGGGTCATAACTCTTTTCAGTAGCCAATATAATGTTTCAAGGAAACTCTGTAAAAACAAAATGGCACTGATACTTCAAATTTAGCGTATAAAGAAATTTCCAAATTCAAATTATTCCTTCTAAGTTACTTATTTTATAGGTCAAATATGAATATCCTTGTAGTTTTTTAATCCTTCAAAGTAAAATTTTGGTGTTTAGAGAATACAAACTGAAAAGCAATTTTGCTTCAAAACATTCTAATGTGCCACAAATTTATTTTTAAAAACTATTACCAAAGAAGATGTATTTTTAAGTAATTTAAATATACAACTTGCAACAAATACATATATTGTAAATCCACTTTTCTAAAAATGAAGAGAAGCTATGTTTACTTTCACATCTAAAATGTTAAAATATCTATACAACACATTGCTTATTTAAAACCAAATGTAAAATATGGTATTGATAAATTCAGCATGCATATTCATTCTGTTTGAAATTTTTTTTTAATTATTGAAAATGAATTTTTTTAATCATCTGTTTGAAAGATGCTAGAAAAGAGAAGGTAGAAAAGTACGACTGCGTTCTTATCACCTAGCAGTTTAACCTCAGTTATAAATACACACACACATCTGTGTGTGCATGTGTGCATACGTGTGCGTACACACATACATATGTGTGTGTTGTCACGACATTCCATTAGCATCACCCGTTCTATTTTTTGCTGGCATACACTGTTTTTATTATTCTAGAAAGCAAGGCACATCACAATCTCTAGACTTGAGCCCGAGTAACTGTCCTCTCTCCAGCAGTTTCTGGCAGGTCTGCCAGTTCTTGGGTTTGGAAATTCCCTCCTCCCTCACCCCTTATGGGCAGCGTGTTCACCTCACCTAAGGCCCTCTGGTTCTGAGGGAATGTATTCTCTTCCCAGGTCCACAAGGGGGCGTAATTTCAAAGGCCAAAACTTCCCGGGGCCATAACCTTGCCCCCTCCCCTTTTTCCCCATCCAGGGATTGGAGGTCTTTGTTTAAAATTTCACAAACACGCAGGAAAGGACCAAAGGTCAATCACTCTAGCGGAAGTTTAAAGGAACTCTTCGTTGGCCAGGGGGCTTGGAGAAGGTGGGAATTCCTCCCAGGTTAAAAGTCCCCTTCTTCCTCACCTCCTTGGAGTCCATCTTTGGCTCCCCTTCCACCATCCTCATGGCAGATTTCCCTCTGTCCGAGATTTCCTCCTCTGGGGTTCCCTTCCCCTCAGTGTGGAAGCTGCTTTCCTCCCCGGGATTCCAGACTTGGGTCCCCTTCCACAATCCTTGTGGAAGCATTCTCTCTCTCATCTTTTTCTCACTTCTCTCTGCCTAAATAAACCACTTTCTGCAAAAACTCTTGCAAGCACACTTGCAAGCGCACTGCACCGTGGTCCCCTCTCCCATTCTTAGGTAAGTGAAAGACCAAGAGCCTTAAAATCCTCTCCAGCCGGGTGCAGTGGCTCACGCCTGTAATCCCAGCACTTTGGGAGGCCGAGGCAGGTGGATCACGAGGTCAAGAGATCGAGACCATCCTGGTCAACATGGTGAAACCCCGTCTCTACTAAAAATACAAAAAAATTAGCTGGGCATGGTGGCACGTGCCTGTAATCCCAGCTACTCAGGAAGCCGAGGCAGGAGAATTGCCGGAACCCAGGAGGCGGAGGTTGCGGTGAGCCGAGATCGCGCCATTGCACTCCAGCCTGGGTAACAAGAGTGAAACTCAGTCTCAAAAAAAAAAAAAAAAAAAAAAATCCTCTCCAGCCGGGCGCGGTGGCTCACGCCTGTAATCCCAGCACTTTGGGAGGCCAAGGCGGGTGGATCACAAGGTCAATAGATCGAGAACATCCTGGTCAACGTGGTGAAACCCCGTCTCTACTAAAAATACAAAAAATTAGCTGGGCATGGTGGCACGTGCCTGTAATCCCAGCTACTCAGGAGGCTGAGGCAGGAGAATTGCCCGAACCCAGGAGGCGGAGGTTGCAGTGAGCCGAGATCACGCCATTGCACTCCAGCCTGGGTAACAAGAGCAAAACTCCGTCTCAAAAAAAAAAAAAAAAAAAAAAACCTCTCAGAGTCACTAAGCGCTCCCCTGCACCCCAAAAACCAGGCAACAGTTCCACTCAAATGCTCTGAAAATCTCATGAACATAAAGAGTTTTATTCTAGGAAAACAATAATGGCTCAATGACTGATACTCTATGGGTTCATAAAGGAAGATGAATCTATTTGTCTATTAACCTGGAAGAGCATATTGAATAATTTTCTTTTTTAGAATAAATAAGAGTGCAGTTGACTCAAACCATCTGGAAGTTCCCTTTAGTTGTTAAAAAAAAAAAAAAAAATCTGATTTCAATGGGAACACATGGCATCATCCACCCAGTGCTCACCTGAGCTCTTTCTCTGTACCCTGAGGAGGATCCTGGGGGGTGGAGTCACAGCACAGGATGCTTGTGAGGCCATCCTTACCCAGGACCAGCACCAAGGGTATTGCCACCAGGGATAGCCCAGCATCTCTGAGGACCTCTGCTGTGGGCATTCCTGTGACTTCTTCCCTGTCCCTCCTACCCACACCCACACACTTCTTCCCTCCTTTCTGATCAAGAATATACCTTGGGAGCAAGTAGGCAGGAACCAGCAACCTCTTGAGGCCCGGCGCTTCCAGAAAGAGATCAGCAGCTCTCTGTTCTGGGGATGTTCCCGTGGGTTTTTTTCTGCCTGGTGGAGATGGAAGGGGGCTACTGCTCCTTAACACCCTCTTTCAGGGATGTCTCCCTGGTTTACTCTCTCTGGCCAGAGCATTCCTTTGGAGCAGACAAGCCCATCCTCGTCCCAAGTCAACACCTGGAAGTTGCTAGGTCATGGGTTCCAGGTGTTTAGAGCCTCTCATCAGCATGTGACTTTTGGTTGTGATGATGAAGTCTGACCTCACCTCAAAAAGCTCAGCTACAACCTCTGCAAATTGTCCCTGAAAGCAAATTTCTCAGGCAGCTGTGGAGCCGAGCCCATGGCCTGGTAGGTGAGCCAGGGTGTGTAGCCCTCACTGGGCATTTCATTCCTGTTGGCAGTATGGGTCTGGAACCACAGTGGGTACCCAGCAGCCCCCTGTTGGAAGGATGAATTTGAGCACCCTACTCCTCATGAACAGCTTGGGCTCATTAAGTTCTCAAGAATCCAAAGGCCTGAGACGACTAGGACATCCTCCCACATGTGAATTCAAACTGAACAAAAACCCTGCAAACTAAAGGAAAAAAAAAAAATGAGTCAAGAAACTATGACTTCTTTCCACTAGGAAGACTATTTTATCGGTTATTTTGGAAATAACAATCTTTCACTTTTCTTATCCCCACTTTATAAGGAGCACTGCTTTGCTGGGCTGCTCTAAATACAATGGGTAGTCTTGTATGCTTACTCTGGACATTTTTAGGTTCTAGCTTTAATCTTTTTATTTTTTGTTTTCAAAATGTAATAAAACATAGGTAACATAAAATTGATCATTTTAGCCATCTTGAACTGCACAGATTGGTGGCATTAAATGCATTCACATTTTTATGCAAACAGCACCACAATCCATCTGTGAATGCTCTCATCCTGAGAATTCTGGAAGTGTGTCTGGAACTAGAAACTTGTTTGGGAAGTGCAGTATTTTTCTATCAGTGAAGCACTAAGAATGGGGAGACGCCTCCTGAGGGGCATCACAGCAGCAGAGAGGAGCGGGAGACGAGCATTGGCTGCACCGATACTCAGACCGTTGTAACAGCGGACACAGTCCAGGGTCTGTGGTACACTTCCCCATTGGAATGTCGGGCCTTTTCCTACTCATTTTTGAG